AATTTATATCGACTATTTATATCACACACTTCGCAATTTATATTTCCGCGCTCGATGTTTCATCTGTACTCGATCTCGTTCGATAGTAAAACTGCTTGCGATGTTCGGTCCGCAACCATTTATACACGCAAGCAATGTAAGTTAAGAACACTCGCGTAATTACCGGATAAGTCTGGAATATTCATATACAAATCCCACTATCGCGCGCGTAGAAAATTCCAAAGCGCCAAAGGCGACGTCATGTCTGGAGCGTTTCCGTTACAGTATCATCATTTATTTTGTTATATAAAATACGCGAATATATTATCATTCAAAAAGACGTACCTCAAGAATCTGTCTTGGGACCTGTTATGTTTATTATTTACCTATTGATGTGAATCACATAGGGCATGTGTTCATGAACACTACTGTAGTATGTATCTTCTCCTCCTTTTTGCGTATAGTTGGGGGTGGTTCTTGTTATGTGATTATATATACTTCGTTTGCTCATCGTCTACTAACGCTCTTCTGACCACTTAAAGCACAGGTAAAAGGATAAATAATAACCCAATAATCTTATTTAATTATGAAATGGTTTTTATTTGCTTATGTTGCCATTTAAAAAAAAATCTTAACCTAATATGTGAAATAATGTCAAATGGACGCGTTTCATTTTTCAAGTCTATATCTCAAACGTTTTAAACGCGAAAGCTTTGGTTGCATCGTTAATAGGGACCCTGTATATAGCATATCGTTGAACTAATTCGCTAATTCAAATATATAACTAGGCAAACGACGACGAAAAGTGCCAAAGAACAAATATTCATCAATAATGCGATCTCTCGATACTTTTCGATTGCTACTTCGATGTAGAATGGCTTGGATCCGCCTCTGTTAAAAGCACACGGAGCGACACGACTCATGAACGTGGCTTCTCGTGGAAATCTTCACGCCCTCGCTTTTATTGAAGATGCTGCTGGAATCTTCGTCAGGGCGCAGCTACGGCTCTACGGAGATGATATTTGGTTCTCGTTGCTTGGTTTAATATTTGTTCTTCCGAAACAACCCTGGTGGATGACTTAGCTCTGCGATGATGACTGGCGCAGATTCGGCGTCTGAGGCTGCCCGTTACCCAATACTGATTTCCCAGTATTTACATTTATAATTATACGTACCTATCACTCTAGTAGAATATTAGCCAATCTTTATCTTACTATGACGAATCGTTTAAATACCTAACTCGCTCTAGTCCAAGCTTTTTTAACATTCTCCAGGCTTTCATTTTAATCACAATGACCCGATTCGTTCACCTTACTCCGAATATACACTCGTATAGCAGTATTTAGTATCTTATTCTATTAACTATATCCTTTTAGGTTGCTTACGGGTAAATAAAATACCACTTGGGTTATGAATTAATGAAATAATCAATTGCGTCCCTCAAATTTCTGTGTAGAGTAACCCCGTTACATACTGCACGTGCGGTTAAGTTTCTTGGGGTTCGAAAACATTTAATACACCAAAAACGTATCATCGTTCTTAGTTACTCGGGAGATCGGTCAAACTGGTAATCCCCATACGTGGTGGCACAAATGTTAAGGTGAGAATACCGACTTTGTAACTTAGTGGTAGAGCTTTGGGCTACATAGCCGGAGGTTGGGTGTTCGAACCTGGGTTGAGGTAAGAATGTTTCATCTGTGGCAGAGATGGGAATGTGCATATATCAGTTTCCAGCATTCTGTCGGCTATTCCGAATTAGGTTTTCCTGCAGTTTTTCTGATTCGTAAGGTAAATACCGGAGTAGTATAGAACAACTTTCTGCAGGGGTACCTCTAAAAAGCATTATGCGGGTCACTCTCGTTGCGCGAAAGCTTATTGCGGGCCCAGAACAAGAGGGACAGTAAATAAATATATAAAGTGGTTTTGGCCCAAAAAGGAAGAAGAAGAAAACGAACATTTTTGCTACGTCGCGCAGCTCTATACGATGAAAAAAAGAGATTTATCATCCCCCTAAAAAATGGTGTTTTTTTTTTAAATTGTGAATATCTCGGAAATGTCTTTAACTATACAGGCCCATTGTCTCCTTTTTTATCATACAACAAGCTATGTTTACTCCAAATTTCAGATCCTTTTGCCTTTTTACAGAAATAAGTATAGAAAACCAAAAAAACAGTTTTTCCGTTTTTTTTTTCGGAAAAGTTGAGGTTATGTGAAGTAAGTGCAAATGCAAAAGTTGTTAATTTTTTTATTCCTTACAACAACGAAGTTGATCTCTTACAAAAATCACAAATTTTTTCAATAATAAAAAACGATTCTGCAAATAAAAAAAGGCACTTAGGGCCAGAGACCACGCAACACAGGCGATTGATCGAAACGGGTTAAATAAAACCTTAATTACATTTAAATTCAACATTATTACGTTTATAGGAGAAGAATAAAGACTTATTATTATTATCCACAATCCAAAAATCCAGTCTTACACTCCAATTCCCAATTCACACGCGCACAAACAACACAAACACTAAACTGATTCTTTTCAGGAAACCCAATTTCTTTGTTTCGTAACACTTAACTTCTTTATAACGCAAACCAAACTCGACTATTTTCTTTCACTGCGATGTATTGATAATAATAGCTATCTATTATACAAGACGATAATAGCTATTTATTTCATAAGGATATTACCGTTGCCATAATTCACGTGGATGTTATACGAAAAAGAGTAGGTATGTACCGTGAGTTCTGTATCTGGCGTGAGGCGCGTGGAGCAAAAGGAGCTTCAGAACCTATTTTGCTTGCGTACTTTTAAGACCAAGGTGAGTACTTAATTTGGAACTTTCCTTTTCGATCTAGTCCTTGTTATACCTGTATTGTTACAACATTGTAGGCGGAAAAATATGCACCATCTACGTTATGGACTCACTACTCGTAAATTCGTAAATCTATAAGGATCCGAGTTACAGTTTCTATAGCGCTATAGATTTAACGGTTTTATAAGCTTACAGATCGAAAACACGGAATTGCATAATTAGCCGCTTTCTTCCATACAGGTTACGTTAATATTAGAACTCTTGTATTATGGTAACTATGATATTATGAAGGGTAACTATGCTATTATGAGAATTTGTTATTTTGGGCTACTTTTCACGCAAGTTCACTAATAAATTAAGTACGCAATAAATGTCATGTTTCGATAAAAAGGAATATTTTAAACCAATTGAGTTAACAATAACTTACACGAGATGGTGAGTTTCCCTTTATCATCGTGTATAATACAAAAACTTTATGTTATAGCAGAAGTCGTATAAATCATGGTAAATCTTGACAGTTCTAAATTTAATTAAGACGTCAAAAATAGCAAGCTTAGGTTCTACCGTCGCGGTCGTTTCCATAGAAACACCATTGTCATAATATGTTCTGAACGTCGACCCTCACGGGTAAAGAGACACTTAGCACTCATTCAAACCTATTAAAATGTCAATTGAACCCCCACAACCTTCCCATGTTCAAAAGTGTACTTGGCACCACTAAAGGCAGGCGTATGCTGAATTTGGAACCAATTGGTTGTCGCATGTATAATTTGTGCACGTTTTACTTTCAAAAACAGTATCTCAGGAAATAATCATAACCCCCCCCCCCCTTTGAATCTGCGGCAAGTAAGGAAATACAGTTCAATTATAGAACAGAACCATATTTTTATACCTTTCGCAGTAGAGACATTGGGACCTTGGTGTAGACAAGCTCGTAATTTTGTGGAATATCTGGGAAAATGCATTATCAATATTACTGGGGAACCCCGAGCTACCACTTACTTACGACAAACCATAAGTATTGCCGTACAACGTGGCAACGCGGCCAGTGTAATTGGGACGCTTCCAACTACGATCTCCAGAGGAGAAATGTATTATTTATTATGAATTTTTAATTTGTTTAAATAAAATTGATTAATTATTTATTTTAAAAAATTTAAAAAAAATAACAGTTACCTATGTATTAAAACTTTCACGGCACCTGTACTTGTGGCACTCATTTTGAGAACCGCTGACCTAGAGGAACCGGCATCAACTGTTGAAATTTTCTCGATGCAGCCACTGTCACACATTTTTGAAGACTCAAATGTGGAATTTTATCTCTAGTGGAGACGTAAGTGTTGCAGTTATTTTTGTATAAGGTGAAGTAGTTCGAATAGGGATCTGGTGAGCGATGTCCTTTGTACATGGGAAACTTTTGTTTAATTGCTGCTAGTAATTGGTTACTTCATCTGTCCTTATAGTAACGACTGATAAATAATTAGCTATTGTTCTTTTATTCTTTAAACCTGCAAATGATGTGCGGTCTAAGCTGTTTTTTGAAACCTTTGCGGCAAGTTTTGCAATAATTATAAATTATAATCATGTGTAGTATGATAATACTCAATTAATGACCGCGCTTTTTCCCTAATTCCATATTAATAAAACTATTTAAGCAAGCAGTTCACTTACCAATCTCTCTATTTGCTACTAGAATGAAAGGTACAATTTGCATCTTAGAGAAGAGGCTTCTTCAATACAGCGCCGCTACTACTGGTAAGTGCTCATTGCACTGCGTTTATGTCACTCCGCAAATGCTCGCTAGGTTTATTGGCGGCTTTCAGTAGCGGATTGAACTTAGGATGGACGTCTCCATATTTGCCCACCCTTCTAAGTGAGGCCTCCCCTATCACAATGACCGCAGATCAATCGTATTGGGTGGTAACCTCTTACCTGTTGGCAGGATTATGTGGCAGTATTTTGCTCAGCATCGTTGGGCGGAAAATTGGAAGAAAGACGATTTTATTATGGTCTAGTGTGCCATTCTGTACAGCGTGGACGGTAATAGCTTTTGCAAGTACTCTACCAATACTTTTAATTGGTAGAATAATAATAGGCCTGGCCCAAGGTTTAGTATTCGCAACTCTGCCCATGTATTTAAGTGAAATCTCCGATAAAGAAATACGAGGGTTTTTATGTTCCTTAATATCCGTTCTTCTTTTTTTGGGAGCGATGGTAATCAATGTGATTGGAACGTATATGACTATCAAAATTTCCTCGTTGATTTGTCTAATAATACCTGTTCTCCAATTCGTAACCTTTTTTTGGATGCCAGAATCGCCGAATTACTTACTGATGAAAGGTAAACGTGAAGAAGCACGGCAAGCGCTTATTGCATTAAAAGGATCGGATGAAGCAGATCGCAGCTTGGACGTGATCGTAGAAGTTATAGAAGAAAACAGGTTAAATAAAACTGGCTTCATCTCGATATTTGAGAAAAATAACCGATCAAAGTTGGTAACCTTGTTAGGACTACGCGTAGCCCAGCAGTTTTGTGGTGTGATAGCTTTTAATATATTCGCACAAACTATTTTTCAGGAAAGTGCCGATTCCATTTCGCCTCTATTGGGAACAGTCATTTTGTATACAGTACAAATAGTGTTTTCTGTACTAAGTTCACTATCAGTAGATAAACTCGGCAGAAGGCCTTTATTGATAGTATCTGCAATTGGAACGATATGTGTTTTACTTGCAGGAGGGGCATTCTTTTTTATTCGAGACGTGATCAAAGCTGACACCTCACACGTTTCATTCGCACCGGCGCTTATTTTGATCCTATTCACATTCTGCTACAGTTTAGGTTTACAAACCATGCCCAATTTTATGGCGGCCGAGCTGTATCCTACGAACTTGAAGCCATACGCCTGCACAATCGGCGATGTAATGTTTTACTCATTCTCGGCCATTGTATCCCAATACTTCCAATTTACCAAAGATAACTACGGCCTCTTCGTTCCTTTCTGGACCTTTGCCGTCTGTTCCATCATTGGATTGGTAATAATTGTAAAATTTATGCCTGAAACTAAAAACAAAACATTGGAGGATATACAAAAAGAATTAAGTAGTAAATAAAAAATGATTTCCGCACGATGCATTTTGTTAAAACCTAATACCTTCCCTTTATTATATTTACTTCTGAAGCACCGCTTCGCTTTTTATCGAACCAAGTACTATGCGATCAAAAATAAGGTGCTGTCGAGTCGCCTTTGGAATTTTTGTTTACGTGTGAAATTGAACTTCCAAAGGCGACTCTACAGCAACTCATTTTTGATCGCTCGTGATCTAAGCTACAAATAGAAATTTACTTCTACACACACAGCTTTAGACGTGTTTAATATAATATTATATAATTAATATAAATTTTTATCAAGTAAGCGTTGAAATAATTGGTTGCTTGTGTTAAAAAAATTGCGTCTGATACAAGTGAATAAGTGCATAGGTAAGCAAGGAAGCAAGTCTGTGAGTGTATTTAACTTTGTGGTAATTCGAAAACAATAATGGCTTAATGGCAAATTGTTTCGACTTTTTTTTTTAAAATGGCGAATCTGCGTTCACAACAGCAAGTCTGTTTAATGAAAAACATGCAGATAAGCATGTTCATCGTATGTCACAGATTTAATAAACCAGTTACCCAATTTTTGACAAACATCTTCCTAGCTCAAAGCAAATTATTACAAAAAAAACATTTTTTTGACAGTCTTACATCTTTTATGCCTAATATACACTGCCAAAAATCATATTAATTTGCTGTATGTGCCGTTTTATTGCTAAACATTGAAATATTCGTACATAGTTACAAATTCAAATTGCTTTGTTTTGGATTCCTTCTATTGTTTTTGTCTTTCGTGTGCTCTCTTTTAAGAAATGATTTTGCAATTGTTTTCCTTAAAACTGTAATTGCAAAAACATCGGTTTTTGTCAAATCACCGAAATTAAGCAACGTCGGGCGCGGTCAGTATTTGAGTGGGTGACTACTTGGAAACACCTCTGATTAAAAATTAATTTTATCACTCATTGTATTCTAATTAAAGGTCTCAACGAAAGGAACCATTTTCTAGCAACTACTGCCCTTCTTTCTGTCCTCTTATCAAAGTACGGGGTGGAGGGGGAGGGGGGTGGAACTAGTTTTGTTCTTCATGGTACTCTAATGAAAGGAAAGGAATATAATCTCTACCAACCATAGCGCCCCTCCTCGACCTCTTATCGTGATCGAGTATATTTCCTTATTCCTCAAGAACGGATTGTCAGAAGAGGGTACTCACAAAGGGCGATTGAGACATCTGCAAGAAATATATCCATTGGTGATGTCAAAACAAAAGCTTTCGGTTAAAAAAATGCGCTTTATCTGCACAAACGTTGTGCATAATTTATACTTGTTTTATTTTTGTTTATGTTTATCTATTGATTTTATTTATTTTTAGCTTCCTAGCTCGAACTTTCGACTCGACTTTTTAGATAATTTTAAACAACTTTTAAGGAATAAAAATTTTCCCGTTTTGAGTGTATGTGCGTACGTTGGCAGTTTTCCGAGGTATTAACGGCTCGGCGGATTTTGTTCAAATTTTGGATATGTGTATTAGGCATACGGAAACGAAAAATAACGAACCGGATTTTTTCAAATAGTCACCCACTTATTAACGAACCAAGTTTTGAAGTGGTTACCCATTAAAATTAAGTATTAACCGGGAGCAACGGTGCTTGACTGTAGGCAATAAATTAATTATTATAATAGTATTCATAATAAACACAAACACAAAAGTAAAAAAAAATTGCTAGAAGTCGTTACACAACAACATGGAGTATTTAGGAAAAAATTATCAACTATCGCGATCTACTTAGAATTATTAATTTAAGGGGTAAACTTTGTTTTTGTCCAAGTATAACAATCGAATTTCGAATAAACAAAAATATATATTGGTTCGAATAGGAATCTGGTGGGCAATGTACTTTGTACATGGGAAACTTTTGCCTAATTACTGATAGTAATTGGGTACATCATCTGTCCCTTTCTAACAGCTGATCAATAATTAGCTATTGTTCTTTTATTTTTTAAACCTACAGATGATGGGCGGTCTAAACTGTTTTTTAAAACCGTTTTCGTATCATTGATAATTACAATTTTCAGTATAATTATGTACGTTATAATACGTTAGTTACTCATAATCCGTTAGTTACCAAAACAATAGTATATTTAGCTATTTATGTGCATGAATTTCGATATTGTGCCATTGTTTAAAATTTATTTTTACACCATTAGCTTCCATGGTCGTTTGTTCTTTTTTATTTATTCCTGATGATCCAACACGTGTTACATTCAAATTTACATTACTTGATCCTTTTCAACTGCCTGAATCTACTGTTCCATACCCAAAATTTACCTTTTTAGTGATACCTACTGGCTTCTATGTCGCCTCTAGCGAACTTGCTTGACTCCCAGCCTCACAAGTTCTTGAAGATCCAATATATCGCCGTCGGCAATTTGCTAGGAAAGTTGCGGAAGATCTAGGTATACAATGGCTAGTAAACATTGCAGGATAGGATTTTCAAGATTAAAATACGTAGCAATATTTGAAAAGTAACCGCAGGTCTGAATAGTACATTTTATACATGTTATTTATTGCCGTTGTCAAATGGGTGCGTTCACCAGACGACGCGCTTCATACGCTACCTAAAGGCCAACATACTCTAGCAAGAGTTCTCGAGGGGAGCGGGTCCTCTAGTGAAACAGCCACCGAGGTTCGACAAAGCGTATATAATTTTGGAAATAAACTCAAAATGATATAAAAATACAAGCTTTGTGGATCCTCAGGCACTGACAGGTACAAAAACGCTTGTCTTCAGAATTCGATTTTTGTTTACAACATGGAGATATTTTGAAATTAAGATTTTTGTCTTTTTCGCTATCAAGTGGTCTGAAGCAGAGGTGCGATGATTTTAGTTTTTCATTCCTGGTTACGTTTATAGGTAAAGAAACCTGTAATTAAGGATATTTCATTCAATATAGTTAAAAAAATCAATTTGTGCGCTTTCCTATAAACGCGCGTGTAATTTTCACGCGCTATGGCTCCCAAGGGCACCTAGTCTCCGTGCGTGTGGTGGTCTGTCACTTAAGGTAGGCCTCTGCTTGGTCTAATAAATCTGCCAACTATTTTTACCCAACTACTCTAATTTATTGTTCGAGGTCGTTTAAAATAAAAGTTGTACGTGGATATGGTCAAATTGGAATTCGAAAAACCTGTTTTTTTTAACACATTGATCACTTTTGAGCTTTGCTTTAGGACAATTTGGGCCGTTCTTTGTGGCACCGGTGCACTTTGGTCCCAGGACGTATTGGCGGGGTAGCTATTTAACACTCAACTTGGCACGGCATTCGTCAATCAGTTTCCTCTTCACAATCAAGAAGCAGCGCTTGCCATACCCAAAATGCGTGTGAAAAGCTAGTGTGGAATGTGTTTACACATTTCAACCTACGTTCAATACTTTAAATACTACGCATAATGATGAATAATGTTATTCAATGGTATTCGTTGTGCGACAAACTTGGGGTAGTTCGCGCACGTAAGTGAGCTTTTGAAATTAAATAAATATTAGCGGAATTATAATTGCAGTTTGATGTAAAATAAATATACAATAATAATAATAATAATAAGACCCTACATAACTTCACCAGACACAGACACAGACACTAATCGTTACTTGATTTTAATCCGTGCGATTAGTTAACCAGGCTAGACCTGAGTTCTCACAAGAAACACCGACAATAATAATAATAATAATAATAATACTCTTTCTTCTCAGAAACACACCACGTTATCACAACCCACTCGTACTCAACCCAAACGCAACAACCTTAACAGCACTACAGGCTCACAAAATACTGTAACGTCTCCACCAATAACCCAAGCAACCACACAAATACAACCTCAAGAACAAAGAAACACAAGAAATACAAGTAACGCAACATGCACTACAAAAACAGGTCCACCCAATAAAATTACACGTCTTAGCACAGTTAAAAAACACAATACTCCTCTTTCTCAGAAACAACCCACTCGTATTCAACCGAAACGCAACAACCTTAAAAGCACTACAGGCTCACAAAATACTGTAATGTCTCCACCAATAACCCAAGCAACAACACAGATACAACCTCAAGAACAAAGAAACACCATAAATACAAGTAACGCAACATGCACTACAAAGACAGGTCCACCCAATAAAGTTACACGCCCTAGCACAGTTAAAAAACACATAACTCCTTCTTCACAGAAACACACCACGTTATCACAACCCACTCGTATTCAACCCAAACGCAAAGCCAAAGAAACACTTACACAATAAACTCCATTTAATAAAATTACAGGAATTATTATAATGATTTTTGTTTTGTTTTGTTTTCCTCTTTCCTGATAGCGTTGGCTTATTGTGCCCATGTGTGATTTTTATTTATTTATTTTTTTTAGGACCCTACATAACTTCACCAGACACAGACACAGACACTAATCGTTACTTGATTTTAATCCGTGCGATTAGTTAACCAGGCTAGACCTGAGTTCTCACAAGAAACACCGACCATAATAATAATAATAATAATGGACGAGAATGAAACTTATAAGTATCTTGGTTTTCAGCAAAATACACATATTAAACATACGAGTATAAAACAAACACTTATCACACAATACCTACAAAGAGTACGCAGTATACTTACAACAAAATTACACGGTAGAAATACAATCAAAGCTATTAACACTTATGCCATACCAGTGCTTACATACTCTTTCGGGATTATACGTTGGACAAATACAGATTTAGAACAAATATAGAGAAACACACGTACACTATTAACAAAACACCATATACATCACCCTCACTCCTCCACTATACGACTTTACCTTCCTCGTTCGGAAGGAGGTAGAGGACTTACAGATATAAAACTATTGTACCAAACACAAATACACAATTTACGACAATACTTTTATAACGAATCAGATACTTCAGTCTTACACAAAACAGTAACATATGCAGACAAATCTTACACACCACTTAACCTACACGAAACTAATATACTCCCACCCACATCCAAACTTACATACATCACAAATAACATACAGACATGGAACCAGAAGCCTTTACATGGACGATTTCCACAAGAGGTTAGCCAGGATTGTGTTGACTCTATAGCAACGCACACTTGGTTGGCTGAATGTGATATCTTCCCGGAGACTGAGGGTTTCATGTTAGCAATACAAGACCAGGTCATTAACACACGCAACTATAAAAAACACATACATAAAGATAAAACAGTGACAAATGATTCTTGTCGACTTTGTTCCCAAACATCAGAAACAATCCAACATATAATATCGGCATGCACACGACTTGCACAAACTGAATACAAACATCGACACGATCAGGTAGCTAAAATCATACATCAAACATTAGCACTTAAACACAATCTCATAACAGATACGACACCATACTACAAATACACGCCACAGATCATACTCGAAAACAACACACACAAATTATATTGGGACAGGACACTACTCACAGACAAAACTATCCACAATAATAGACCAGACATTACACTTATACATAAAACACAAAAATCCATTTGTATTATAGACATTGCCATCCCCAACACTAACAACTTAACTAAAACACATGCAGAAAAACACCGCAAATACACCGATATAGCTATCGAGCTTAAGACGCAATGGAGAATGAAATCTACTGTTATAGTTCCCATTATTCTTAGTGCTATTGGAGTTATACCAAAGACAATACACCACAATTTACAACTATTAGGTTTAGACAAAAACACATACAAACATTTACAAAAAGCAGTCATTATCAACACATGCCATATTGTTCATAAATTTCTAAACATAACACAAGATACTACATACAGAAATGATCCACAACGTATACATGTAAACAACAGTACTCGCTCACAACACGGTACACCACATAATGTAATATCTCCACCTCTAACCCAAACAAACACACAAATACAACTTACCGAACAAACAAGTACAACAAATGATACAACATATACTACAATCAGATATTCACCTCTGAAGCAAACCACATTATCACGACCCATTAGTATTCAACCCAAACGAAAAAACCTAAACAGCACTTTAGACTCACAACATGACACACAACATACTGTAATATTTCCACCCTTAACTCAACCAACCACACAAACACAACTTCCTGAACAAACAAACGCAATAAATACAAGTAACGCAACACGCACTACAAAGACGCCCTCACCCACACGGCCTAGCACAGCTAAAAAACACAATACTCTTGCTTCTCAGAAACACACCACGTTATCACAAACACAACCCACTCGTACTCAACCCAAACGCAACAACCTTAACAGCACTACAGGCTCACAAAATACTGTAATGTCTCCACCAATAACCCATGCAACAACAGAAATACAACTTCAAGAACAAAGAAACACCATAAATACAAGTAAGGCAACATGTACCACAAAGACAGGTCCACTGAATAAAGTTACACGTCCTAGCACAGTTAAAAAACACAAAACTCCTTCTTCACATAAACACACCACGTTATCACAACCCACTCGTATACAACCCAAACGCAAAGCCAAAGAAATACTTACACAATAAACTCTATTTAATAAAAGTACAGGAATTATTATAATGATATTTTTGTTTTGTTTTCTTCTTTCCTGATAGCGTTGACTATTGTGGCCATTAATAGCTATGTTGGTAAGTATGAATTACATACTATCTCTAGATTTCCAATGTGAGTGTGTGAATATTTATTTTATTTTTATTTTTCTTTAGAACCCTACATAACTTCACCAGACACAGACACAGACACTAATCGTTACTTGATTTTAATCCGTGCGATTAGTTAACCAGGCTAGACCTGAGCTCTCACAAGAAACACCGACCATAATAATAATAATGTTTATTCAATAATGAAAGATACAGTCTTTTTTATCACGTCAATACAAAAAAATATATACAAACAAAGGCTAACTAAGACAGTTTTAGATCTAACTTTTCAAATTCTTGGACAGAATAAAAAGCATGTTTCATTAACATTTTTTTAACCTTTTTTTTAAAATGTAATATAAGGGAGAGCTCTTATGTCTTCTGGCATCTTATTGTAAAATTTAACAGCAACAAGGCCATAACTTTTATGAGATTTTACAAGTCGTCTCTGTGGAAGTATTACGTTGTTATTACTTCTGGTTCCATACTTATGAATTTGACTATTGTGTAATCCACCTATCAACATTTCTGCGTGCAAAGAGTAAAGTTTCGAGAATGTAACAGCTAGACATTGTTAGTATATTACTTTTAACAAACAAAGGTTTGCAGTGCTCCAATGGATTTACTTGATTTAAGATTCTTAAAACTTTTTTTGAAGAATAAAGATTCTGTTTGCTGAAGAACAATTGCCCCATATTATTATGCAGTAAGACATGACTGAATGGAAGAGACCAAAATACAAAGATCTTAAAGATATTATGTCTAATACTGGAGCTAGTTTTTTTATCACATACACTACCGAGCATAATCTAGAGTACAGATTCGTTACATGTTCATTCCACTGCAAGTTAGAGTCGATATACACACCAAGAAATTTAACACAAGCTCTTTTGTTATTGTCAATAGTTGTATTTTTCATAACGTAAATACAATGTTTTGATTTTTGCCCTCATTTAAACTGAACATGTTTGAATTAAACCATTCTTTTGTAGCACTAATTGTAATCGCTTGTTTTTGCAGAAGATCCGGCATGCCGTTGCTTTTGACAATCATGGTAGTGTCATCTGCATACAACACAGTATGGCAGTGATGTAGATTGAAAAACAGATCATTAATGTAAATGGTAAATAACGTGGGTCCTAGGTGACTCCCTTGTGGCACTCCATGTAAAACTGTCCTATTCTGTGATGTTTGCCCATTGTATTCGACTACTTGATTTCGGTTTTCTAGGTAAGACTGTAAAAGAGTGCTCCAATTTTGATAACAATATCTTGTGATTAACACAGTCGAATGCTTTTGATAAGTCACATCATGTTGCACCCACATGACATCTTTGCTCCATACCTTCTAACACAAAATTTATAAGCGATATAACTGCGTCACTTGTAGATCTATTTGCTCTAAAGCCGAATTGTTGTTCATTGATTATGTTGTGTTTTTCAAGGTACTGTTGCAACCGATTATTAATTGCGACTTCAATTACCTTGGAAATCGCCGGTATTATTGAAACTGGTCTCAAATCATCTACATTTGCATGATGTGTTTTTTTAGGAATTGGTATAACTTTGTTTAGTTTTAATTCATCAGGGAAATATCCACTTGATAGACCCAGATTAATTAGGTAAGCTACAAATTATAGTAATTAATATGTCGGCAGAACTACTGCACGGACGAACGGACTCGGGCGCCACCAAGGGAACGGTCTCGCGGTCGAGGTCGGCAGTAGCAGCGGTCTTGCGGGTCAGTCTCGAAAACCTCGGGTGGAAACTCAACCATAGAAGCGGCAGGTCTAGAGATCGGGCGGGTTCAACAAATGGCGGGGGTCACTTCGGAAAAATTAAAAGACAATTACTCTATAGCGGGTATGAAAGAGCAAAACACAAATCGACAGAAGCGGTGAAAAAGCAAAAGCTGCAGTTACGGTGCGGTAAATCCAAAATAAAATTTAAAGGTCTGAATGCAAAATAAATTTTCAGAAACTATCCAAATTTAATACGGTTGAAACACAAAAGGCAAAAGATGCAAAGGACAAAAGGTTGATGATTTAAATACGGTACGGCTGCAAAATTAACTTTATGGCAAAGCTCAAAATTTCGGTACTTACAAAACGTCGATTGCGAAGATACAAAAATAAAAGATCTAAATACGAAAATGAAAGTACGGCAATGATAAAGATTAATATGCTACTTACAAAACGTAGCGTGCGAAGATGCAAAAGTAAACGATATCCAAATTCATAGTGCGTTTTCTATTTATCTAAACGTCCATTTCGAGTATGGAATAACTGGAATTCCCATATCGCACGCTTATACCTTAGATACGTTCAAACACATTAAACTGTTTTTAATTAAAAATCCCCGATATCGGAAAAATATGGGACCGATGTCAAACTTCAACTTTTTTACGACCCCTTCTTTTGAGATAAAGCACAGCTCATGCAGTTAACAAGTTATTTTCGTAGAAAGTGAAGTGATTTGAATGGGGAACTTTGCCTAATTAGCGGATTGTATTAGTTGCGTAATTCGTCTGGCTAGATAATTAGCTATTGTTCTTTGAATATTTAATAATTATATTTAAAAAAATTCTAACGCATAATATGATAACATCCAATTAATAACCGCGGCTTTTGGTCAAATTCCACATTGACGAAACTATTTAAGCAAGTAGTTAACGGGTCATTTTGCGCTACTAGAATGAAAGCTACCAACCGCCTCTTAGAGAAGAGGCCTCTTCAGTACAGCGCCGCCGCTACTGGTAAGTGCTCATTACACTGCGTTTATCTCATTTCCCTAATGCTCGCTAGGTTTATTGGTGGCTTTCTGTAGCGGATTGAACTTAGGATGGACGTCTCCATATTTGCCCATCCTTCTAAGTGAACATTCCCCTATCAAAATGACAGCAAGTGAATCGTCTTGGTTGGGAACCACTTACCTGTTGGGAGGATTATGTGGCAGTATTTTGCTGAGCATCGTTGGGCGAAAAATTGGAAGAAAGACGATTTTGTTTTGGTCCAGTGTGCCATTCTTTACGGCATGGGCAGTAATCGCCTTTGCAACGACTTTACCAATACTTTTAATTGGTAGAATAATAACAGGTCTCACGCAAGGTTTGGCATTCGCAACTCTGCCAATGTATTTAAGTGAAATCTCCGATAAAGAAATACGAGGGTTTTTATGTTCCTTAATAACCGTTTTTCTTTACGTTGGAGCCATGGTAATCAATGTGATTGGAACGTATATGACTATCAAAATTTCCTCGTTGATTTGCCTCATAATACCTGTTCTCCAATTCGTAGCGTTTTTTTGGATGCCCGAATCGCCGAATTACTTACTGATGAAAGGCAAACGTGAAAAAGCACGCCAAGAGCTTATTGCATTAAAAGGAGCGGATGCAGCCGATCGCAGCTTGGACGTGATTGTAGACGTTATAGAAGAAGAAATGTTAAGTAAAACTGGCTTCATCTCGATATTTGAGAAAAATAACCGATCAAAGTTGCTGACCTTATTTGGACTACGCCTAACCCAGCAGTTTTGTGGTGTTATCGCTTTTAATATTTCCGCACAAACTATTTTTCAGGAAAGTGCCGATTCCATTTCGCCTCTATTGGGAACAATCGTTTTGTATACAGTACAAATAGTGTTTTCTGTACTAAGTTCACTAGCAGTAGATAAACTCGGCAGAAAACCTTTATTGATAGTATCTACAATTGGAACGATATGTGTTTTACTGGCGGGAGGGGCATTCTTCTTTATTCGAGACGTGATCAAAACTGACACCTCTCACGTTTCATTCGTACCAGCGCTCATTTTGATCGTATTCACATTCTGCTACAGTTTAGGTTTACAAACCATGCCCAATTTTATGGCGGCCGAACTGTATCCCACGAATTTGAAGCCCTACGCCTGCACTATCGGCGATGTAATGTTTTACTCTTTTTCGACCATCGTATCCCAATATTTCCAATTTACCAAAGATAACTACGGCCTTTACGTTCCTTTTTGGAGCTTTGCCGTCTCTTGCATCATTGGATTGGGGATAAGTGTAATATTTATGCCTGAAACTAAAAACAAGACATTGGAGGATATACAAAAAGAATTAAGTCGTAAACAAAAAAAAGGCAAAAAATAAATAAATAAAGCAAATGTTAATAGCATTACTTTTGATTCTTTGGTACAAGCAATAGTACTGTCAAGAAAATTGAAGGGACTTCTACTTCAACCGCCTAATCCCTTACTTTCAACGGAATAAGTGTTTGCCACGCCAAGTTTTAAGAGTTCGTGCTTAGGCAACATTGTAATAAAAATTCAACCCTCGCACGTCAGTCAGTGAGTATGCCTCTAATACAATGGTCACTTGGACTACGCAACTCGGGCGTGCTCTATCAAATATTTATTTATTTTTAAGAACAATGTATAATTATAGTATATGTATTAATTACTTTACACTTTTTCGACTTCTTAGGGCGAGATTGCAAACCGGCTTGCCGATATTATGTCCCTTTTAAATAGAATATTGTATATTTTAGTGATTATTTTAGTTTGGAAGCTCTCTTTTTTGTTTTATATTCTATTTAATAAACCTCTATTATTATTATTATTAACCCCGCGAACACCATCTTTCCGAGGTTCTGATCAATCGAAGTTTTGAATACCAACAACTATGTAAAAACGTCTCTAACGTATCTTACTGACAACTTTGCAGCAGTAGGCTCCAGGTTTGATTTTATTTTACGGTAATTTTATAATCGGCCCTAGGAGGACTTTATTGTTAGCAGGATTACTTATATTTTCGAATTGAAAGTAACATCTCCCCAAAGTATGTATGAAAAATTTGCTGAGGTTAGCACAGGTACCACCTGCGCGTGCGCGATTCTGCCCTTTTAGGCCTAAAAATATATGTACGAAATTTGGTTGCAGTAAGTTCAGCCGTTTAGCCGGAAATAAGGTTTTGACACACTTGTGCCTGCGCAATTCTCCCCAAGCGATTCAGCTTTCAGCTCTGCCTTTTACGTCTAAGAATATGTGTACCAAATTTGGTTTAAATAATAATAATAATAAACTCAAAATACTATATCGATCAAATAACCGCCTCCATTAGATACACAAAAAGCGGCTCTTTTTCGGGAATTTTGCATAGTGTTTGACAGCATTTCGGGCGTAATAGCAGCAATTTCTGCTATTATATTACCTTTTAGTTCTTCAATGGTCTTGCTAGCATACTCATACACCTTACTCCTCAAGTAACCCCACAGAAAAAATTCTAACGTAGAACGAGGAGGCCAGTCGAAATCAGACTTTTCTTGACACTACGCGCCACGGAAACTTACTCCTCGACTTACTCTGCAAAAACCCTGGCAAAAACTTCATAGTAGCATTGAAATTATTTATATAGTAGCGACTACGATGTGGCACTGGCAAGGTGCGCCGTCTTGTTGAAAATAAAAGTTGCGAGTGTTTTCACTCACGTTCAGTTCCTGAGAACGACGGCGATATGAAAAACTTGGATTTTCGGAAAAACTCTCGTTAACCGCTATTACAATTTCATTCGAGCGTCGCGTCGAATAGGACGCTGGTGAGTAGCTACAAACCCGTATTCAAAGAAATGTTTCGTTAAATTACGAATTGTCTTGCCGAAAGGCGCCCAATGTCTCCCATATTTCTTACGTTAAGCACGCACAGTTTTCAGAGTTGAATCAAAGAGTACTTATATTAAGTGTTCTTTGGTTGAACGGGTATTTACAATGTACAGCGCTACAAATTCAGCGCGTTGTTTCGGTCGGAATTGATTCATGATTACAATGGCATTGAATGACTTTTCAGAATCTTGCTCATCTGTCAAAATCGGCTGAAATATGATGGAGTTATTCAATGTTAAAATAGAGAAGGTCTAGATGGCGCACCCAGTATTTCCGTCATAAAGTTGGGGGTCATTTTTTTTACCCAAATAAGTAAGGTTAGAACGCAGTATTTTTGAGATTTGTTGGAAAAAAACGGGCATGTGTTGCGTACATGTTTTGTTAACAAAATCCTTCTTGTCTTTATGAAAACTGCAGCTTTACAACGCCTCTGTGTTAAGATTTGAGAATCTCTGGCAAACGGGCGGAATTCACACAAATATGTGCTGTATTTTGAGAGATAGGCCAGCCCTACCCTGGATGTGTCATACTCATAGTTCTTCACTTACACCCCTATTACGATTACCACAATTTTACATTAACTCTTGTCGAGTGAAAGGGAATATTATTTGACGAATTTGTGGTTAGGTAGGTACATAAACATTTTTGACACGTTTTAGTCGGCCCTGAGAATCAGAAGTCAACGTTTATGAACCGAAACGCCCAGTAACTTACTCCTCAGCCGGAACGACGCTCGTCATGGTCTGTTTCGACTCAATTCGGACACTACCTACTCACTTGTAATTTATTTACTAATTTTATCTGTCGAGAAATAATGTCGCGTTATAATGCACTATCCTTGTAAGAAGGATAAGATTATTCAGCTAGGTATAGTAAACAAATCGCAAATTTAGTAATGGCACAGATTAAAATACTGTCGTAAGGTAATGCGATACAATGGATAAGTATATTTCAGTGTCTATATGCACAGCATAATCTAATATAACTTCTGATGGTACAGTATTTCATTTGGAGACGCGTCCTATAGCTATTTAAAAATTGCATTTGAATAAATTTTTTTGTAAAACTACTTGAGAAACAACTACTTTCGTCTCTGAAAAGGGTGAAGAAAATGTAACTTTCTTCTGTAGTGAGGAAAGTAAAAAAAAATTATTGCGTACGATAATTTTTTAATTTTTATTGTAGGCTCTGAAAAAATGATGTATTATATTTTATTATTACACTATCATCTATTCGCGATTGAGAAGAAAATAACATCGCGCATCCTGCATTTAACATTAACATAAATAAGGAAAAAATATTACAAAGTTTTTTTTTTAATTTCATTTTGTGCTTTTAATTTAGAGATCTTCTTCTTTTTCTTCTTCTTCTTTATCTTCAACTTCCCTATATCATATGGGTTCTTTCTTTCTCCAGTCCGATCTGTCGTGTCTTCGGTCTATCCATCATCTTTCTTGAGCAATCTTTACGGGTTATATCCCACTGCCATATAGGAGGGTTGACGTCCTTTTGTGATTGCTATACGCGTAGGGCCTCTATGTCTTTATGGGAATTTCCGTCTGCTGCAACCTACGCCCCTGCTACGTTGCCTTCTTCACCAAACCACAAGCAGTCAATATTCTTCCTACAAATGTTAATTTGTCAAGCAAATTATTCTCTGTCAACACATCCTTCACCGGGTGAAATACATATGGGTTCTGAGCGGAGTCCTGTTGCACGTTCACAGTTACGGGGAACCTGTAGATAATTCCAATGACTTCCGTGTGTGCTCATTCATACATATCTGTCACCAGACGGACGTACTTGCTTGATATTCCGCGCATGTTGATTTTTCTCCAGATTTTCTTCCTTGACACGGGAGCCTTTTCTAAGTTTATGCAGATGAATAAAGTTCTTCTTTTTTCTTCCCCTTTCCAGCACCTCTCACTGAAATTCACCCTAATCAACTTCTTCTGAAGTCCTTCTGATGTTTGAAATTCCCTTCATGTTTCTCTTCGTACCTCTAAAGTTTCGCTCAAATTTACCTGAAGTTCCCTTTTACCCATTAATTCCTTGTTCAATTTTTTTCCATCTCAATATAAAGAAATGTACTTGGTATTCGGAAGTATGTCAACTATTAAAATTGGATAATTTCACGGCTGTGTATAAATTTTTTCTCTGGACAGGGTGGCCAAAAATTTGATCGTTAGTGTGGGGTAACTCTTCAAATATAAGTGATAGAACACAATTTTTTTAGATCCTTAAATTCCTTTCAAACTCGCATAAAATTATTTCTAGGTTACTACCACATTCTCGTCTTCTTAAGGTTCTAAAGATTTTCTCTTATCTCCCTCTTTTTAAATTCCGCTCATGCTTCTCTGAAAAAATCTTTTCTCAAATTCATTTTAATGTCAGGCCAAGTTTGTTCTTAGGTCCCTTCAAATATCAAATGCCTCTTAAATTCCCATCACCTTTGCTCTTAATTCGTTGTCGTTTTCAAGTGCACTCCAAGCTCCCTCGCATGTTTTCTTCAACTTCCCCTTTTGTTCAAATTCTCCCCTAAAACTAAAACTATACTTCCCTCAATCGTCATCCTTCTCAATCTTCTATCAAATTCCTCTCAAGTTCCCATTACATTTGCCATTCATTGTTCATCTCAAGTTTCTCTCGCGTGTTTTCTTCAACTTTTCTCAAATTCTCTTTATCCCTCAAGTGTCATGTTCTTCTCAAGCTAATTTCAAATTTCTATCAAATTCTCTTCAAGTTCATCTCAAGCTTTGCTCAATTTCTTCTTAACCGTCTGTCAAATTTCTGTGAAGTGTTGTTCTCAATTCGCTTTATGGTTGTCAACATTTTTTCAATAGCCCCCTTTTCGAGTTCTCTTCAACTTTTCATCAAATTTGCTACAAATGTATTGTTCTTCTCAAGTTTTTTTAAGTCTTTCCCCAAATTCCTTCTCACGTTTCTTTTAGCTTTTGTGTTCTCATCAAAATCTCAAGTACCTGGTAAATCTTTCAGTTTCTCCCAAATTTATATCAAATTTTGTTCAGGCTATTCTCAAGTTCTTGTTATGTTATTCACCTTTAGCTTCCCTCAAACTTCGCTCGCTTTCTTCTTAAGCACCGCCCATGTTCCTATGTAGTTCTGGTTTCAAGTTATTTTGATGTTCTCAAATTCCTTTCAATGTCCTTCTCTCGTGCACGTCAAGTTTACTTCAAGGTGTCAAATTGCCTCACTTGCCTTAAATTCCCTAAATTTCGTAATTCTCCTTCTGTTGATTGGAAGTTTTTGATTGGTTTTCGTCAAGTTCTTCTAGAGGTCTTCTTGAGGGAATCCGGGAGCAATACATTGTTCGGTACATATTTTCGCTAGGCAAGAAATCTCTGATCAACTCATTGCGAAACTTTCGGTTCTTTTCTTCTGCTTCAATCCACAAATGTAACAGTAGATAACAAAGGGTTCTAGAACTCTTTTTTCTCGCGTCTTATGTTTCTTTTTTATTGCTTCCTTTCAGATAAAATCGTAATTAATTTGGAATTAAAAAAGGAAAGGAGTACAAAACAACATCCAGGAAAACTAAACAAATAAACGAATACCATGCCCTTTTTTGAAAATATTAAGGGGCTCGTTTTTTACTTGGTACATATATCAAGCACGGGGTTAGTGTAAAATGTATGATCTTATAGAGTTAAAATTTACACAAGGATTCTAGTGGCAAAATTTGGTAATCTTTTACAATTTTCAAGATTGTCCTTTACAAATCTTCCTTTTCCTGCAAGCGAGAAAATAAAGTGGAAAAATATAAAGAACACTTTTTTAGTAAATTTGCATTTTTTATTTTTAACTGTACTTCAGAAGTTTCAGAACTATTAAACGATTTTGAAATTACAGAACCAAGACAGCCGCGCCCTGGGGTATAAGGGGTGCAAAAGCAAAAATGCATTTATTATTGAATGACAATTTATAATATGAAAACCAGAAAATCCGCTTAGAAATAGTAAAACGGAGGTTTTCGGGGCGCAGATTCCATATCTTCCCTCGAAATTGACCGGACGAGGGACCGGAACTGAAAAATGAATAGGGGCGGCTACTGAGTGCCGGGGGTGCAGTATGGTGTGAAAAATTAACAGTGCCGGGAAATTCCTTGGATATCGTTACTCGGTGATTTTCGCGGTCGCGAGGCCAGATATACTCTCGAAATTCCTTGGGGATGCCCAAGGGTGACTATCGGAGAAGGCGGGAGTGACTAAAAATGTCAATTGCCCCGAGTAGCGATTTCCGAGCAATTTATCGGAACAGTCAATTTTCACTCCACTGCACCCCCGTAGCCCGCTGAGCATCCTGGGCAATTTAAAGGTTCTACCCTTTTACAGTTTTCAGTTTTTCATAAGTATATGTTCATGTGTATAATTTTACAAATAATGAGCAAGAATAAATACATTGATTTCACCCCTTACACAATTTTCAAAAAATTGCTCAACCAGTATTGTATTTTTCTTCGTATTTTTCTGAACACTATGCTGAAAACGGCATTTCGATCCCAACTGTTTGTAAAAACTATAACTTTTGGGAAAAAATTTGCTAATTTCCCATGGTCGATTAGGGGCAAGAATCAAATATCTGCAGTTTTTAAGTCTGTACGTATTTTGGAGAAAAACAATTGAGGAAAAAAGTGGTACTAGTTCAGCAATTTCATTCACAGCAAAATGCAACTATTTCTAGCGTTTTGGCCGTCCATCCTTCGGGTATCACCGCGTTCCATTTTCTAGGGATATAGGGTCACTCATTAATGCGGCGATTTTGTTGAGATCGAAATTCTGTTCTTTAGATGTTCCCCAGAACAACATTAAAACAAGTTACATTTTATGTTAACTGAACAGAGCAATAAATTTTCCGCGTTTTGGCAACAAAAATTGCGACGATGCTAAAATGCAATTTTGAAATAAGCGCGTCACGTTCGAGTTGCTTATTCCTCCGAGCTATTCTGGCTGCGATCCATTAAATGCATTTCGATTAGTGCGATTATTCCGTTAATTTGGATGTGTATCATGACGGAATTTTCCGATAATGTCGGAACACAATGTTGTCTTCCTTACTGTTTCTACGCACCACTTCCTAGCCGAGTTTATCCCTAATCCAATTTATTCTGCAGCTAATGAAGCGATCGCATCACTGAAAATGGCATTCCAGCCAAAGTCGTATACGCATTCAGCTTGCAATCAAATTTTATGCTCGCGGTCCATTATTTAGATTTAGATACTAAGTAAACAGATCAATAAAATCATCTCCGTCAGTGAGAATGGCAATGTTTTCTTACTGTAAATTGAGTATTACGTAATTAGTCATTCTTTCGGGACAATTACATAAAATGTGGGTTATTCGCCTTTAAGTGTAACAACACGATTTAAATTGGTAATTTAGACCTCTTAAAATTGCCTAATGCGTGATGACATCTAAAATTTGATAGAAAAAAACGAGGTGCGGTAATTTTATTTTTATACGTTTTAAGAGGGAAAATTGCAATTTGCACGCTTTCTTCACAATGTGTGATGAATGGTGCAAATATACGTATAACAACAAATTGCATATTCCGTGATTTGGAAAGCATTTAATTTATTCTTTCATGCGGGGAATAATACTTCGTGTTTAATTAACATGTACACGCATAATTTAACGTTCTCCGCTTTGGTGGTTTCTTCGAGGTTCGAAAAATCGATCAGTGGTGCAATAGTGCACATTTCGGTTGGGGTAAATTGTGAGATTGTACGAACGCAACCCCTATTTGACGCTGCCGTAGACCCAATAATGCACAATTCCGGACCAGACGACTCACTGTAATTTCCGAGCGTAGACTCCGAGGCTCCAGGCTAACTCATAGGGTGACGTCATCGTCGGTCTCGGCTGTTGAAGCCGGAGCGTTTCCATCACCATTTCGTATTCGCATACGATCGTAGCTGGTATATTTAGTTCGACGAAGTTCTGTTTTTAAATCGTGATGGATCTGTGATAACAACAATCAATAACCCTAATATAAATAGTTGGTTGGAACTTGGAGCAGGAAGTTTAAGTGACGAGCGCTTCGTGTTAAATATAATTAATGTTCAATCGATATCATAGTGGGTGTTTTTGTGCGGATATTAGAATATTTTTATTTACTCTTTGTATTTTTTTACACTCTAATTAACATTGTTGTCTTTATAAACATGGTGTTCCAACGTATATCTGCAAGTGAGTGATTATAATTAGTCATATAAATATTTGTTACAATCTTGTGAATGGCCTGTCTATACTGATACGACCAGTAATTATGTGTCGCACAGTATTAAAAGCTATCGATTATGAGGAAGTGTAACAATTCGGAGGACGTTATCCTAAATTTCTTATCTGTCGTCGCAGAGGCGCCAGAATTTTTCAGGGACTAAAGCTACCCAATTAATTTTTTTCTAAAGTCACCGCCAATTCAGATCTTTTTAATCCCTGCGCTTTGTTATTTAATAATCGATTCATTTAATTTATTACTACACGAGACGGGTTGACTGTGACATTGGAAATAATGTGAAACACATGCTAAGTAGCTAACAACTATCGACTAGTCTCGCTGGGGGTGAAAAATTGACGTAGGTGTGAAACCTTTAAAGTTGAGGATATTCACTTGCATACTTTTTCAAGTTGAGAATGAGACATCAAACCCGATGTTTGGGGCTTCGCCCAATTTGTGTTTTTTTGTGCGCAAAACGCACGACATCGATTTCGGAATAAAGTTTCGAAAAATTGTGTGCGGGTAGATGAATGATATTATTTGACATTAACCATCCTCGAGATCTTTTATAATTTTGTATTGCTGTTTGTCTTTCTGTTTGTACGTGTGCATGTTAAACTTTGTTCTGAAGGATATAAGAAAGGTCGCTATTATTTTTCAGCTACGTTCAGTATCGGGTGAAAAAGTTACAGCCCAGAAAAAGATCTCAAGGATCGTTTGGTATCTATTCAGTTGTATCGGATTTTTCCGAGGATTTTTCTTTTCAATCATTTTAGCTCAATGCGTGACAGCAGGGTTGCCAGATGTCAGGCATTCAGCCGGAGTCTCAGGTTTTACATCGTGCTCTCCGGCCCCCGGCAGGCGCGACTATAACTCCAGCAGAACAATAAATTTCAATTTAATACTTTTCAAATAAGTCAAACGATTCCTTTTTAAGCACCTAATAACACCTTAATTTTTAAATATGACGAAATCACAAATAAAAACTTTCGTAGAGATCTTGCTTTCAAAAGGAAATGTTACCACCTAAACTAAAGAGTGCTGAAATTCTACTCGTCTGCCGCCTGCCTTTATCTTAAGAGCTATTGTTCTACTTTTTTCGCTATTTGGTTCGTTATGGTGTCGAGTCTTGTACCTACCAAGGAAGGATTTTTTTCTGTACCGCTTACAAAAAAAGTTATTGTAAAAAAAAACAAAAAACCGTTTTTTACATGTTCCATAATTTTACACTTTTGCCGTTTATTAACGGATCGTTTATAATTTTGCATTGCTATTTGTCGTCTGCCTGTTGGTCTGTCCGTCTGTTCCTTTGTCTGTCTGTCCATCTATCTGTCTGTGTGAACGATAACTTTGTTTAGAAATGTTCGATCGCTTTTACATCTCCGTTAGTTATGAACTGAATTGCATGAAATTCAATATGGCATAGCTTTAGCCATATAATACGCAATGCCAAAAGTTGAATCGAATCGATTCAAAATTCACAGTGCCCTTTTCGCATCTCGACCATTTATAAACCGAATTGCAAACTTTTTTACTTATAAAAGTATTTGAATGAAATTTGATACATAGGCACTTGGAATAAAGGAAAATCAAACGCCAATTTCAAAATTTGGTTTTGCGCATGCGCAGTGCCAACTTTTTATTTATGGAAGAATTTAAACGAAATTTGATACATAGGCACTTGGGATAAAGGAAAATCAAACGCCAATTTCAAAATTTGGTTTTGCGCATGCGCAGTGCCAACTTTTTTATTTATGGAAGAATTTAAACGAAATTTGATACATAGGCACTTGGGATAAAGGAAAATCAAACGCCAGTTTCAAAATTTGGTTTTGCGCATGCGCAGTGCCAACTTTTTTATTTATGGAAGAATTTAAATGAAATGTGTATTTGAATGAAATTTGATACATAGGCACTTGGAATAAAGGAAAATCTAGCGCCAGCTTCAAAATTTTATTTTGCGCATGCGCAGTGCCACTTTTTTTATCTATGGAAGCATTTAAGTGAAATTTGATACTTAGGCGCTTGGAACAAAGGAAAATCTAACATTAGTTTCAAAATTTAGGTTTGCGCATGCGCAGTTTCAACTTTCTTATTTAGAAAAGCATTGAAATGAAATTCTTCTCATAAACTGAAATTGAAGTAGCACGTCAAAAATGGATTGCCCATGTGCAACGCTATCTTTCATATTTGTGGACGGATTTTTACGATTTTAACAGAAGTTGCATCTTACAAATGGGAAATGAATGCAAGTGGAAATGCGCTTTATGTAAATCGTTTACGATTACTTTTTAACTTGTTAGACTTCTCTCCAAATTCTTTCTTATCTTAATTTTCAAATTTTTGGACTGAGTTTTACGTTGTAATATTTGAAATCATTTCGTAGCACATTTTGTTCTATTTTTACCGTTTGATTTTCAGAGATGTTTAATGTTTCAAATCAAGCAACCCCTTACAGTTTTCAATATTTTTACCGTTAACACGATCCGACTTTAGGAAGGGTACAACTTCATTATTAAATTTAACCGAGGACATCTTTAGGGTTTTTGACGCCGACAATCTTTCTTCGCTTGTTCTTCTGGACTTCTCTTAAGGCTTTTAATAACCACCAAATACTGCTTAGTATTTCAAGGTACGTTGGTCTAAGTGACGTATCTTGTGTCTTATTGAAAAATGTTTAACGGACAGGACTCATAGAGTCACATTAAATAACGTTACTCGAGATGTTACTCTGATGTGGTGGAGTTGACTTGTGGAGTTCCGCAAGGTTCAATACTAGGGCCCTTGTTGTTTATTGTTTAGGTATACATCTAACTTTGGGTTAACACTAAAGCATACAGATTTCCATCACTGTGCGGACTAGCGTTGGGCAAAAAAAATCGATTAATCGATTATAATCAAACGATAATCGATAATCGGGTTTGATTATTCTATTAAATTAATCGATTAATCGATTATTTGATTAATCGATTATTTGATTAAACGATTAATCAGTGTAATCGATTATTTGATTAATCGATTAATCAGTGTAATCGATTATTTTTCATAATCGATTATCGATTATTCAAACCCGTAATCGCCCAGCCCTAGTAGCAGCAATTCGCAATCTAGACAAAATTCATATTCCCTGTTTTGGGCAGAAGATACAATCAGTATGTGCACATTCGTGGAAATTGAACAGAGAACTGAAAAGGTGTCGGGAGAATCTAAATTTACCCCTAAGAAAAATGCCTTCATATTCTCGAACGCGTTGGTGGTCGCTTTTACATTTAATGATTGTAATTAATGAACAACACGCCTTGCGTGATTTATTTCATTCTTTTGGTAATGGAAAATTTAAAGGTTTTATATTAGACAACAAGGAAATGGAAATCATTGCGGAGATAATTAATTGCCTTAAACCAATTGAAGAGATTAGTGAACATATGTCTGGAGAGAAGCACGTTACAGCAGGAATTATTATTCCGTTGTATGAAAAATTAGTAAATTTATACGGTTCGCAAGCCGATAGTACGCAAATATTTGAAGATGCGATAAATATAAAAAACAACTTTATGTATTCAATACTTGCAAAGTTACGCGAGAGGTACATAAATAATAAAGAAACCTACAACGCACTATGCATCTGCACATTTCTGGATCCCCGATTTAAAACTAAATTTTTTACGACCGAAAAACAAGAAGAGGTTAGACAACTGGTTACATTTGAATGCGAAAACTTAAATTTAAAAGATATAGACAATGATCAACATCAGCCCAATAAAAAAATCAAGACGGGACTTGCGGCCATTTTGGGAGACGTCTCTAATGATACAGAAATTCCAAATGTGAATGATGGTTTGGAACAAGAATTAAATCATTACGTCCATAGTCCTGTTTTGTCCTTGGATGGTGATCCCTTAAATTGGTGGAGCGTAAATAAAGAATTTTACTGTAGACTGGCAAAATGTGCACAAAAATTTTCATCTATACAAGCAACAAGTGTATCTTCTGAACGAGTTTTTAGTAAGGGAGGCTCTATTGTAACTGATAATAGAGCTTCGCTTACTCCAGATCACGCAGAACAATTAATTTTCATTGCGTGTAATGCACTGTACGTTACATAGATTATCTACTTTTCTAGTAGTGAGTAGTATTATTATAAGTGTACCTATGTTATTCCATAAAGAATATTCTGCTATGCTGGTACATTATAAACACTAAACAGAATGAGCGTTTCACCAAATCGTACTTGTAAGACACGAATGCAATAAGAGTACAATGGTAGGTATTACATAAAACCAAAAACCATAAATCAATAATTATAATCATAATGAATAAAAAATTATTTTATTTTATAGCGGATGTTAAAACGTCACTTTAAGCAGCTAAAATGAATTAAGATTGTATCATCAAAACTAAAGCACACCTCATCGGAGAGTAAGCTGCCTAATCATTTATTTTTATTTATTTATTTTTATTTTTGACCTTCATTTTCAAATGGGCATGGTTTCAGCCAAGGCTGTTCTACCAACCAACCCACTATGCATTTGCAAATATCCATGCCCGAACCCGGATTCGAACCAGGGACACTTTGTTGATTAATCGATCTGCCTAGTAATGAACGATTTGATGAAAAGAGTAATGGAATTATTTTTTTTATTTTTATTAAATAATTAACGTATTAATGCATACAAACAGATATTTATCACTCCTTGTATGTGACAATCGACTTTTGATTAAACGATTAGGTGATTAATCGATTATTTGATTAATCGATGATTTGATTAATCGATTAATTGATTAATCGATTATTTGATTAAACGATTATTTGATTAATCGATTATTTGATTAATCGATTAATCAGTGTAATCGATTATTTTTCATAATCGATTATCGATAATCGCCCAGCCCTAGTGCGGACCATTAGCCAATTTCAAAAATCCGTTTACAAATTCTTCCTCACATCTCAACATTAGTAACTTGTGTC